TTCAATGCGTAGTCTGATACGGGCTTTATTAAAATCACATGAATTTTACGTTCCTTCGCCTCTTTCAAGATCAATAAATTTCACTAACTCTTCACGTCTAGAGATATTATCGCTAGTGATATTCTGAGTCATGTATTCTTTGTGTTTTTCCCTCTATGTTAATTCAACTATTTCATGGTATTTTATTATTTATGTAAAGCCCGGTCTACATAGGACGCAACACGCCAGACGCAAGCAAAATCGACCAATCATAGTCGAATATTCTCGGAATAATCGACTGTGATTGGTCGATTTTGCTTGCGTCTGGCGTGTTGCGTCCTATGTAGACCGGGCTTTACATAAATAATAAAATACCATGAAATAGTTGAATTAACATAGAGGGAAAAACACAAAGAATACATGACTCAGAATATCACTAGCGATAATATCTCTAGACGTGAAGAGTTAGTGAAATTTATTGATCTTGAAAGAGGCGAAGGAACGTAAAATTCATGTGATTTTAATAAAGCCCGTATCAGACTACGCATTGAAAATTGAAGATTGAAGATTAAAGATTGGAATTTGACTAATCAGAACAAAAGGGACTAAAATTTCTTTATTTTGATTGGTCAAATTTCAATCTTGAGTCTTCAATCTGAATCTTCAATGCGTAGTCTGATATGGGCTTAAGGATTTATTATAATAGCGATAGAATAATAATAGAGGAATTTTTTGAAAATCGTGGGTGTGGAATCTTTTGAATCTGATCCAATCGAGAGATATTTTTGTCACACGCGTCATATGTTGGCATGCCTGATTACAACGGCAGTTGCGGCAGTTGTCACTTTTTTCTGTGCGAGTCGTGGTTAAACGGAACTTTACGTCGCGTGCGTAAATCGCAATATTTTTGCGATCGTGCGAGTGAAATGTGAAATTATTGCTTTCGCGAATCATCCCGAATAATATCTTGTTCAGGTGAGATCGCATTTCCCTTCATTCCCTTTTCGTTTGTGGCTGCGAATCCGCGTATCGTTCTTTTGAGGTTAACCTTCTCTCGTCAAATGTGGCTTTTTCTTCGGTCTTTTAAAACTAATCTTCGCACGAAATTATTTGCATGACTTGCGCGTTATCATCGTGAACGATAATGTCAACGAAACACGCATCCAGTCGACGGTGTCACGTGAGTACTGGCGTGTAGTCGCAAGTACTCGTGATTACCCGCGCAAATTTTTTCCTTTCCTAAGAGAAAATGCGAGAACTGACGAGGATGCATTTTTCATGACATTACAAAGTTTAGATTAATTGTTAATTTTGAGGATTTAATTCTTAGTTTTTTTTTTTTTTTTGTATTTTTGCCGCGTGTTATTTTAATTCGATTTTATTCACACACGATTTGATGTAATCATAATATTCCGTTGTTTATTTATTTCAGTTTAAAATATTTCATATTTTCTAATTGATATTTGTATATATTTTAGTAGCAGATATCATTGCATTTTGTTGCCTATTCGCTGAAATTAACACTATTATTGCAGTTCATCTATTCCTTTTACTTTTCCTTTCTCTCTTTATATTATACAATCAAATATTACTTAATATATTTAGAACTTATTTGGAGTTATATTTCAATATATTTTTTATATAAAATTTAACTCTTTTTATATATATCTTATATTAAATATATTCTTTTTTTACATTACTTATTCTTTTTTAAATTTGTTTTTTCTCTATAAATTCCTTAATGTTTTCTACTTATTTTATTGTTTTCTTTTATACTAACAGTGTATAATATTATTGTTACAGTGTAGTGCAGTGATTACACAAAATATGTCAAAATCAGAGTCATTGGAGGCAAAGCCATCGGAGGCAGAGCCATTAGAGGTGGAACCATCAAAGGCAGAGCCATCAGAGGCAAAGCTATCAGAAGTAGAGCTGTCAGTGGCAGAGCTACCAGAGGTAAAGCTATCAGAGACAAAGTCATCAGAGCCAAAGCCATCAGGAATAAGGCCACCGTCAAAGATTGAAAGACTTTGCTCCTCTAGGCCACGTAGACCAGATATTCCGCCACCTTCTCCAGTGAAATCAGTGACTACAAAGATCAGTGAGTCTTTGACAAAACTGTGTGCCATTTTATTTTATATATATATTGCATGTCTGTTATAATTTTATTAGTAGCATCTTGTTTGATGTATATTATCTATTTTTGTGTGTGAAATGGATGTAAGATATATTAATATTTGATGGAAATCAACACAAGATATAGACATCTAATAACATTCTAGGTCAGATAAAAAATAAGTCAGGTATCAAGAGAGACATTAATAAATATTATATACGTTTTTTATATTATCCCATTTATTATATGTATAACATATAGTAGTAGTCTTAGAAGTTACGCTTCCCTTGACTCTGTTTCTAATTTTTAGGATACTTTGTGTCTCTTTGATGCAAGAAATCTTGCTAAGCATTGTTTCCCCTAATTTTTTTATTACACAAAATTTAATCGCCATTTATTTCATATATACCGCGAAAATTAATAAATAAATGATAATAGTGAATTCGAGTGTGCTGTAATTCGTGTTTATGTAAAGTAGGTCCTGAAGAGAGGATACCACGTGTTATACAATGTGTATCCCATACACGAACATTAATTTACACGCGTCTTCTCTGGAGTATGCACTGCGAATAATGCGTTTCATTAATTCGTCGCAGCGTGTACACACGAGAACGCTACGCACGCCCACGGGTCGCTCGTGAACGAGCGTGAACGGGCGCTTTACTTACGCTCGTCTTCGCACAAGTTGCTCGTGCGAGGTGCGAGTCGTTCTTCGACCGTTCGCGACAACACATCCCTCGCGAAAGAGAAACTGGTAAATATCTTTAATAAAAAGTTATCAAGAATTATACAATTAACGAATTGTGCGCGCAAACTTATCATGAGTAGTGAAAGTGCTTATTTTATTATTTTATTAAAAAAAACAACAATTTTATAAATAATATATTTTTATAATTTTATTTATTTTTAATACAATATTTTTATCTCAGCTTCACGCAGTTTTCGCCAAAAATTGTGGTGAGTTAAATTAG